TGCTTGGCAGAATGGGTTAAAAATCGGGGCTCATCCATTTTTGAGCCCATTTTCTGGGCGATTTTGGAGCTTTTTGAGAGAAGATTTCAACTAGCAACTTGGAGTTAAGTTAATTCTACACACTTTGAGTTGAATACATAGATTATGGGTAGATTATAACCTGTAAATCTTGGAAATCAAGGGTTTAGATGAAAACCCTAGATTTTGACAAAAATGAGATTTTAACCACGAAAATGGTTATGGAATTGGATGAAAATTATATATTTGAGTTCTTGAGATTATGGGTAACGTTTTCCTACAAAAATTTCCAGAATCAGGGCACGTGGGCCCGGGGTGAATTTTAAGAATTTACCATTTTTGGATAGGATAATTTATTTAATAGTCTAATTTCAAATTATTGAGCATGTATTAATTATTTTATATAAATTTTGGATAATTTCGGATTTTTCGGCATCGAATTGAGATTTTACGCGACATTGTGATCGGGAAGTGGGCTTTGAGACAAGGTACTCTTGCCTAACCTTGTAAGAGGAAATTTATCCCATAGGTGATTCACATTAATAATTATTGCTAATTGTGGGGGCTACGTACGCACGAGGTGACGAGAGTCCGTGCGTAGCTACTAATTATGTTAATGTCCGGGTTGTTTAGGACTCAAATCATGAATTACTTGTGATAATTGCTCCTTTTATTTAATTAAATTACTAGAATTATATTGCAAATTATTTTAGAAAATAGTAAAAGATCGAAACTTCATATACTCGAATTTTGTGTAAATTATTGAATTATTAATAGAGATTGGACATCCTCTGTGTTAATATTATAATAATTTCTCATTCCGGAGGTTCATAAGAAAATGTCCTCCTTTCTTGTGGAGCGGGCCGAACGCCTCGGCATTATAGATGCATCTATGGATCGCGCCGCACGTCTCTTGGCAGTGTACACGACACTCTGGATCGGGTCGTACAACCTCGGCATAAATCGTGCCTAATAATAATAATTATACGATACCTTGATATTTAAATTGCTGCTTGTGAAGTAAATTGATAAAATTGGAAATTATTGAAATGTATGGAATTAATTACTTCTGTTGTTTAATAAAATTATTGTTGTTCACCTAAAAATCATGTTTAATTAATTATATTCTAATGTAATATTATTGACCCATAGTGAGTGTCAAAGTCGATCTCTTGTCACTACTTATTCGAGATTAGGCTTGATACTTACTGGGTACACGTTGTTTACGCACTCATGCTACGCTTGTTGCACTTTTTGTGTAGGAGTTGAGACATGTACTATCGGAGGACCTATCGACGCGCACCCACGTTATCCAGAGGCGTAGTGGTGAGCTGCCTTTCTGAGCCGTTCTGCAGCAACTAGTGCCTCTTCTTGTATTTGTATTATGTCTATTTTATTTCAGACAATATTTATAATTTTGTATAATCTACTAGATATTCATACACTTATGACACCAGGTCTTGGCACACACACTAGTAGAATTTTTGGATTTAATTATTTTACTTAAGTTTTAATTTATCTTATTTCTCACATTGTCTTAATTTTTGCTAGTACGAGGAGTTTAATTACTCGGATAATTTTTAAAAGAAATAATTATATATTTAAATTACTAGTTGGCTTGCCTAGCTGTGATGTTGGGCGCCATCACGACCTATAGGTGAAATTGGGTCGTGACATAACTGTACTCGGTAATCGGTAAATACAAGGTGCACCAGGTCTAATGAACCTGCCATTAGCTACGGGATCCTTCAAAGTCTCCTCCCATTAATACTCTTTCTTGTAAACAGTAAATACTTGTACAAAAGAATTTTCAAAATAATGAAGGGCATATAATTTCTTATCAAATCTTGTAATTTTATTTCGGTAATGGTAATCATGTCTCGAGTAACAGTAAAACATGTCTAGTAACAATGAGAATATTTTAAATAACTGTTACATCTCAAGTAACGGTAAAACGTATCTAGTAACGATGAAAATATTTTGGTTAACCGGTAAATATCTCAAGTAAACTATTCGGTACCATATCAAGTAAAGGACTTGTCCCATATGAAAATTTCAAAGCATCGGTAACACATTTATTTTCATAATCATATATAAACTATGCAGGTTATGAAAATACATATTGTGGTAAGATTACTACTCACAGCACTCGTGTCGCAATACCAAACACCTCAAGCAATTTTTATGACTTCTAATCTATCCAAGTGCTCAATTTTTGTGAAATCTACAAATCAATATAAGTTTATATTACCATCTGCTAACCATGAAATTTAGTAAGTTTAAGTGATAGCGAGTCACAATTCCTATTACCCATGTCTCAGTGTTACTCAAAATACCATCTGCTAGACTACCTATAATGTTATCAAAACTAAATCTTAATAGCTTTTTTTTTTAATTCCAGGTTCATGGTTATTCATGAACTAGTTTATTTCACCATGAAAATCCATGTTACTATTACCCACCATAGTTAAATACCAAACTCAATTCTAGTATTCCAATTGAAGAGTTAAACAATAAGAAGACTTACGTTGTTAGTTCTTGTAGTTTCTTGTTATAACTCTTTGATGCCAAACAGAGTACTTTTACTCAAGAAAAAGAACTGATGCGTATTGCTCCTCTTCAAGCATCGTGTCCCAACAATATTTTGGGTTTTTGACTCCAAGTTGCTGTTAAATTTCTCGTTCTCACTTTCTTTACGGATTAGAGTTGTAGATATTTCCCCAATTTTCCTAGTTGTACTCTATTTGTTGGTGGCAAGTCTCCTCTCCAAACCCTTATCAAACCCATGCCACACCTCTGATGGGCTTTGGCCTTTTAAATTGCTTCATCCCTTTTTTTTATAGCTAAATAACCAATTTGTCCTTGGTTAAAATTATGGGTTATTACACCTCCATTGCATTTATGCAAATTGATATAAAAATTGTTAAAAAGCCATCATCATTTCCTTCTAGCTTCTTTACAAAGTAACTATACCATTAATATTGTCAAACTTGGTCAAGGAACATTTCCCAAAGGATTATAAATATTGTCAACTCCCTCCACCCCTACCCTTAAAAAAATCCCAAGGTCTCCCTTCATAGAGCATGTACTTGTTAATGAACCTTAGAATATCACATTTAATTTGGAATGATGTACTTGTTTAAGCTTCAGTTTAATAATAAGAGCTTGTAGAATTTGATTAGTTAGTTAATTTGCTAGGTCACTATTCTTTGAGTTTATTAATTTCTTCTCTTGACCGCTCTCTAATGACGCCCAACTATACTTTATAAAAAAGACTAAAAGATCGTTGCAAATATCATTCGGTTCAAGAGTCGAGTTGAATTCCACAGGGAATAACCTATTAACTACAAATATTCGTCTCGCAAGAATTCAAATAACCAGTCTCTAAAAGTTGTAAATATCACTTATTTAATCTTTTACTAACTAAAACAAGTAGCAAGATGTGACGACCCGATCAATCATTTTGCTTTATAGAATCTTATTTCCCTATTTGAGACTTTTTATATGTTCTTTTCCTATTTCACGACTTGCGGGTGTGGTCGGTTTGGCTCCGGAAGGGTTTGAGTTAGATTCAGAATACTTAGTTCCATAGTGGTGTCCCAAGTTGCCTCCCCGACTGGCTGATCTATCCACTGAACTTTCACGACCGAAATCTCCTTAGACCTCAACTTGCGAACCTGCCTATCAACAATGGTAATTGGCTCCTCCTTGTAACTCAAGTCCCCATCCATCTGAATTGTGTTATAATCCAACACATGGGACCTGCCAGCATGGCACTTTCAGAGCATGGACACGTGAAAAATTGTATGAACTCCCGATAAGATAGGAGGCAAAGCAAGCCTATATGCAACCTCACCAACTCGCTCCAAAACATCGAACATACAGATGAACCTCGGACTCAACTTGCCTTGCTTCCCGAATCTCATTATAACCTTTATCAGTGAGACTTTTAGAAGTACTTTCTCGCCCTCCATAGAAGACAAATCACTCGCTTTCTAACCCGCGTAACTCTTCTTCATGGATTGAGCCGTGCAAAGCTGCTCCTGAATCAGCATCACCTTATCTAAGGCATCCTTTACTAAGTCTGTACCATACAGCCTAGCCTCGTTGGGCTCAAACCAACCGACTAGGGAACGACATCGTCGGCCATACAAAGCCTCAAATGGAGCCATCTCAATGCTAGATTTATAGATGTTGTTATATGCAAACTCAGCCAATGGCAAGAATCGGTCCCACTGCCCTCCGCAATTAATTACACAGGTCTTGAGCATATCCTCCAGAATTTGAATTGTCCTCTTTGACTGCCCGTCCATCTGCGGATGAAAGGCCATGCTGAGCTCTACCCGAGTATCCAACTCACCTTGTATCGCTCTCCAGAAATGCAAAATGAACAGAGTGCCGCGATATGAAATAATGGAAATAGGCATGCCAAGCAACCGGGCGATCTCCTAAATGTGTATTTGAGCCAACCTCTATGAAGTATATGTTGTCATCACTGGAATAAAGTTTGCAGACTTTGTTAGTCTATCAACAATAACCCAAACAATATCAACGTCTGCAGCAAACCAACTACAAAATCCATAGTGATGCGCTCCCATTTCCACTCCGGTATAACCATCAGCTAAAGTAAATCGCCTAGTCTCTAGTGCTCATACTTAACATGTTGGCAATTCAAACACATTGATACATATCCAACTATGGCCTTCTTCATCTTCCTCAAGTCATGATACATCTTCGTGGTACCTAGATGTATAAAATAGAGCGAACTATGAGCCTCCTCTAGGATCAACTCTCTCATGCCATCAACATTAGGAACATAAAAGAGACCCTGGAGCTGCATAACACCATCATCATTGTCACGACCTTAAATTCCCTCCGAAGGATGTCGTGATGGCACCTAATCTCTACGACTAGGTAAGTCTATCAATTAGTAACCACTGAACAGATATGTAATTTCAAGATACTGAAAGTGACTAAATAATGGATAAAACCGTCAGTAAATAAAATCTCACAATCTCATACGCTAAAACCAGTGGAACTGAGTCATAATCTCTATAGAACGCTGCTAAAGTACTACTACATCACTGTCTGAAAAGGAGATACAACAGTAATAAAAATAAGGGAAAGTGACTCCGAGGTTTGCGGACGCCGAGCAAGCATACCTTGAAGTCTCTGGTAAAAGAAGCTAGCAAGACTCACTATCTACCGGCACGAGCAGACGTACCTGGATCTGCATAAAAAGATGTGCAAAAGCATAGTATGTGTAAATCACAATAGTACACAGCAAGTATCAAGCCTAACCTCAGCAGAGTAGTGATGAGGCCAGGTCAAGACACCTACTAGGATATGAAATAGACAGTATAAAATGAAATACGAATATAAAATGGGAAGTAAGAAAGCAACTAATATGGAACAAGATGATAGCATGATCTAAAATTGGGAAAAATCAACAGTAGAAATAGCATGAAAGAAACAGCTAAAGTGATACAAAGATCATGTACAGACTACAACTACTAGAATGATAACGAATGGAGCAATAAGAAATATTCCTTCTACGACACTTTGCAACATGAAATAACATCAAGAAACACAATGAGGTACCGCCTCATGCATAATGAAATCAAACTGAGGTACTGCCTCGTACAATCAAGAATAACAACCGAGGTACCGCCTCGTATAATCACATTTCTCAATTTTATATCACAATCCTTTCCTATGCCGCCGCGTGAGCTACACATACTTTAGCCCACCTTATGACGTACGTAGTTCCCCTACAAGCAACACGCACATAAGTCACACCTTATACCGTCGCATGCACATCAACCCAAGTCTTATGCCGCCGCATGCGCACCAAGATAATATCACAATAACAACATCGCACCACAAGTGCCCACATATCACAACTTGTCAACAACAATATCAATGTTTCCACAACAATAGCACATGGCTCCAACACAACGTATACGAGAATATTAACAATAATAATGGATGGAAAATTCTCAATAGGATAGATGTTTCAACAATAACCAACATCGCCTCAACGTATTAATAACTTCCACAACCTCAACATCAAATAACTCAATAATGGGAAGAACAACGTGTAACCACAATATTAGATAAGGCTAACTCACAATAAAGGAAATAATCTTTAACAATGAGTATCAAGTAACGGAAATCAACAAGTAAAGGGCAACATGAACAATTAATTCAACAGTAATAATTAACAACGAAGAGATATCATGTGTCAATAAAAGGGCAAAAATTTCAACTAAAGCTTGTGAGCAATTTAGCAAGTAAGATGTAGAACAATTTCTAAACAATTCAGCTAAAGCATTTAAGGATAGTCTAACACAATTAAGGATGATTTAACTATGAGAATCTAGAACATAATATGACATTCAATTAAAGCATGAAAATAATCTAAGTAGCCTAAACCGGTCAAATACTACGTACAACCTGTGTACCCACTAGTTACCTTGCGTACACGGATTTCACTTAGCACAATTGAATCAACCATACCAATCCTAAGGGGTAGTTCCCCCACACTAAGTTAGGCAAGACACTTACCTAAAATAGGCCAATTCACAACTCAAAAATAGCTTTTCCCTTAAAGTTGGCCTCCACACGGCTCAAATCTAACCAAAATTGACGCAATAACATCAGATAATGCTAGGGAATTCAATTGCAATAGATAAAGTTAAGATTTTTTACACTTTTCCCAAAAAGTCCACAAAAGTCAACCCGGGGCCCGCCCGGTCAAAACTCGAGTCCAATGATAGATTCCGTCTACCCATGACCCCACGAGTTCATATATATGATTAGTTTCAAAATCCGAGTCCAAGTCGACTCTCAAAACTCAATTTCTTATTTTTTCAAAAACTTGATAAAGTTTCATAAATTTGTACTTTGATTCACATGATTTTGTTGTTAAAATCTAAGATAAGTTGATGGAATATGATTAGAAAAAGATTAGGATCGCTTACCCAAGGTTTGTAGGTAAACATCCCCTCTCTGAGTCGTCTCCTACCGAGTCTAGGGTTCAAAAATAAGAGAATGAACTCAAATATCCCGTCCCTGAGCTATTTGTCCAGTCGCAGATGTCGTATTTGTGACGTGGGGTTCACAATTTCGAACCACGCAAATGCGAAGAAGCCCACATTCCTGCTATTATCACATTTGCGATGATTTATTCGCAAATGCGAACTGTGGAGTTTCGCAAATACAACCACTTGATCGCAATTACAGTCTTTGCTGTGCCAACCCCTCTTCGCAAATGCAAAGAAATTGTTTGCAATTGCGAACCTGACAGAGGCCCTTTAATATCGCAAATGCAAATCAAACACGAGGTCTAAGGCCTGCACCTGAAACAGATTTCACCAGCTATTTTTCCTAAGTCCAAAACCACTTTGAAGCCTATCCGAAACTCACCCGAGCCCTCGGGGCTCCAAACCAAATATGCACACAAGTCCAAAAATATCATACGAGCTCGCTTGCGTGATCAAAATTCCAAAATAACACCTAGAACTATGAGTCGGACACCAAAATGAATGAGATTTTCAAAGAAACTTAAGAACTTTCAATTTTACAACCGGACATCCGAATCACGTCAAATCAACTCCGTTTTGTACCAAATTTTGCAGATAAGTCATAAATATTATAATGAACTTATATCAAGTTCTGGAACCAAGATCCGAACCCGGTACCAATAAAGTCAAACTATGGTCAAACTTGGGATTTCTTTAAACCTTTAAACTTCTAGTTTTCAACAAATGGCGATAATTCAAGCTAGGGACTTCCGAATTCGATTCCGGGCATATGCCCAAGTCCCAAATCACAGTACGGACCCATAGGGACCATCATAACACTGATCCGGGTCCGTTTGCTCAAAATATGGATCGAAGTAAACTCAAATGAGTTTTAAAGCACGATTTCATATTTTCATTAATTTTTCACATAAAACCTTCCGAAAAAAGACACGGACTGTGCACGCAAATCGAAGAAGGCTAAACATAGCTAATAGAGGTTTCGAAACATAGAATTGAGGGTTAAAACTATAAATGACCTATCGGGTCATTACAATCACCAATAGTCACCTCCTTAGAACCACCTCGTAGTACCGTCTCTCTAAGAACCAACAAGTGCGGGTCATCATATTGACGAGCCTTGATCCGCTCGAATAAAGAAGACTGATCCACAACACCTATAAAGACTCGACTAGGCTCTGAGATATCCAACCTCACAAGTCGATTAGATAAGGATTGAATATCCAAAGCTAACGACCTCTCCTCTGCTGGAATAAATGCCAAGCTACCCATACTCTTGGTCTTTCTGCTAAAGGCATCCGCGACTACATTCACCTTTCCCGGGTGATAAAGAAAGGTGATATCATAGTCCTTCAGTAACTCAAGCCACCTACGCTGCCTTAGATTAAGGTCTTTTTGCTTAAACAAATGCTGCAAATTGCGGTGGTTGGTATAAACCTCACACGACACCCTATAAAGATAATGCCTCCAAATCTTAAGAGGATGGACTATCTCATCCATCTCCAAATCGTGCACAAGGTAATTCTTCTCATGGAGCTTTAACTGATGAGAAGCATAAGCAATCACTCACCCTCCTGCAATAATACACAACCCAAACTAATGCGAGAAGCGTCACAATAAATAGTGTACATTCTCGAACCTGATGGCAATACCAACATCGGTGCCATAGTTAATGCAATCTTGAACTTCTGAAATCTTGCCTCATACTCATCAGACCACCTGAATTGAACACCCTTTTGGGTTAATCTAATCAAAGGAACTGCTATAAATGAGAATCCCTCTACAAACTCATGATAATAACCTGTTAGCCCCAAGAAACTCCTAATCTCAGTTGTTGTGATAGGACGAGGACAACTCTGAACCGCCTGAATCTTTCTAGGATCCACCTTAATACCCCTGCCTGAAACAACATGCCCTAAGAAAGCCATTGA